AATTAAGATCGAAGTGAAAAGATCATCACAGTTTCTTAAACATTTTCATGGCTTCACCAATTCAAATCACCATTTCATAAATCTCGAGACAAGGAGAAAGACAGAGAAAACTACTCAGATCTCAAGGGGAAAACACAACAAAACTCGGAATTCATATATTAAATCAAAGTAATACAAACTACAACAATTAAATAACTTATCTCTAATTTCTCCCCAAGAACACTCCTCGAAGTTCCTCTAAATCTCTTTCTTTCTTTATAGCACATAGAATTCCTCTTCGAAGTAGCAAAGAAGAAGAAATCTCTCACTTTCCCTCTACTCTTACAATCTTTCGAAGGATTCCTCACAATTGTTACACTCTATTGGAAATTCTATACACTAATGGAACCTCTCTAACCTCCAAGGCCTCTAGACTCTCTCAATTTTCGCTTTTCAAATTTTGGCCAAAATGTTCTTTTAAAGTTGTGGATGAGCTTTCCCAAGAATTGCCTAAGCATCCCTTCAAAATTTGGCCTTATCCAAAGCTTAAGTAGGCATAACCATCGATCTGGGTGCCGTCGGCGAGCTTCTGAAGAATTTTGTCCTGTAGTCTCGGGAAAAATTTGTCGTCGGCGGGGTCGAGGGAGCCGTCGGGGCCTAGTTCAATTCTCCACATTTTGGTCCTTTTCGCTCCAAATTCGCTCCTTTTTGCATCTTTTTGCTCCAATGACCCTAATTCATCATTCCTGCAACAAAACATCAAAAATACCTTTCTTTAAAGTGCAATAACATCAGAAACAGTATAAAATAGATATGAAAATCTCAACATATTTTTCTTTGGTCAACTCTCATATATACTAGCTTTACTTATTTCTCAAAGGCAAAAATGTGTCTCTGCATATATTGATACTGTATAAGAATTGTTCAAAATTATAATTTTATTGGTTTAGGAAAGATTTCAAAGCTCTTTTGACTTGTTGTTTTGACTCTTGTTGTGCATAAGTTGATAAATGACTACCTGATGCTCTCCAATAGTTATAAGTTGAGAAATGACTACCTGTTTTGACTCTTTATGTGCCAACCACTCTTTTTCTAGGCTCTT